AAAAAAAAAAAAAAATATTCGTAGAAAAGTCCTCTTTGATCTTGTACCAATGACTCAATTTTTAAATCAATGTGGACTTAGGTTTTTTTCACCACGCATCATCATACACCTCTGATTGAAGATAATAGTAGAGTTAAGATATTGTCTCGAGTGTAAGGGCGTTTGCCGGTGTCCAAAAAGTCCGAACTTTATGATCTTACTAGACACTCAAAAGTGGGCATGACTCAGAAAACTAAGATTTATGTCCATCAAATCAGCTTTTTATTGGCTCTTGCATCCGCCTTTGGCCCGACAGCCGAGGGTTTGCGCCAACTACCCCACTGCATAAACGGAAACGCGCCCCAATTCGGGAAACGGCCGGAAATTGAGAAATCCGTTTAATTTCCAGCCGCCGTGGATTCGACAGAGACTTCTTTGGATTTCCGTTAGGGACCCTCTCCCTTCCCGGCTCCTGCAGCGGGAAAAGGAGGAAAAATTATTTCACGTGACTGAATGTGCCAGCATGATTATTCGCTGCCATTTCGAGCCTTTTTCTTACCAACTCAATTAAACGGTAGCTTTTAAAGGTCGAGGGAGTCCCAAAGCAGGGATGGATATAAGGAGCTACCCTTTTTTGATTATTGCTTCGGATGAGTCGAAGCTTGGAAATTATTCTACTCGGAGATTTATGGTCATTCCTCACTTATTTCAACAAGCCGTTGCCAGTGTTTACTTGTTTCTTTGATTCGCCTTGGAATCAGGTTCCACTCTCTGCTGCTTCAAATCATTTGGATCGCGCTCAGCAGAAAAGAACCAAGCCACATATCAGCGATTGTCAATTTAATTTTAGTTGGGCAATTTAATTTTTTACATGAAAACGGTTATGCGGATTTTAGTGCAAATTTGAGTGAATTTTCTTTACAGTACGAAGCAAAATCTTCAAAATGTTGAAAAAAATCTACACAAATGTTCTCGTGTTAGAAAATTAAATTATTATTAAGTTAAATTTGGCAATAGCTGATGTGGGTTGGTTCCTTTCTACTAAACGCGGTCCATTTGGATGTAGACTAAACAGAATGTAAGGAAAACAGTAAATACAGAGGCAAAAAACCCTGCGAGTAAAATTTAGGCAAAAACGTGATGTAAAAATGTGAAAAATCTATATAAAAAATGTTATTTTGGGGGTTGAGCGTAATCGTTGTTAAATCCAACACATCGAATGTTATGATCAGGATGTCTACTAAGATTCCATTTTGGATTTGATATTTAAAAAAAAAAAAAAAATTCCTGATTCTTTGCGCGAAGAAATTGAGACTACTTTGATTTTACAAACGAACCGATTTAATTAATTATTTTGAATGTATCACTTTTGCACGTGCTAAACTGCTACATGCAGTACTACATATTGAAACATGTTCGACGCACTTCACAGTTTCCTGATCTATGACTGACAGTCTTGATACTTTCCTCATGACATCAAAGTCCCTGATATTTTCCTGGGTTTTCGTGGTTTTCACTGACGGTTGACACAATGAATCTACTTAAATAACAAGTACCACTGAAAAATTCTAGCAAATATTTCCATACCAATCCTCATTTTTCTTTAATCAGTGCTCCTTTTTCTCGGAGCTAGCTCCGACTTTTGGAACTTTTGAAATTTTCCTGAATTTTTCTCGGAACTGTTAAAATTCCCGAAAGGTTCCGGATCTTTTGCTCTTTCCAGAACTTTTTAGGAATTTTTTAAAAAATCTAAAAAGAGTCCCGGAACTTTTGACGGTAATGGAATGGGAGAAATTGAAATGAAAAAGTTCCGAATTCCGGAACTTTTGACGGTCATGGGATGGGAGCGCTGTTATTAATCTACATTTTGGCAACCGAGAAACGAGAGTGCAGTATTACCTCCGACCGATATTTCTGTTCGTTTAAAATCGCTCTTCGGCATTTCGAGACGACGATAAATAGTCATTCTAAACAATGCTGATGGGTATAACCTTTATTCTCACGCTGGCGTATCCATTTTGAATTCCGATTACTTTCACACTTTTATATCTGTCGACCGTAAAGATTGCCAAATTTATCCGGGAATCTTTTATTCGCTCTCAAGAATCCGTGCTAACTCAAATAATTTTTGGCCCGAACTAGCAATCCGATCGTCCATTCCTGGTATTTTGAATCGAGCACGAGCATTTACTGCCATTTCGCTGGATTATGACTGTCTTCGCCACCAAATTTATGATCGTTGTCTATCTCAGTTTTGCCGAGCTCTGCGCCGAGTGAAATTTGCCCACATACGTCGCGTTATTTAACTAATCGCACAATAACGCTTTAAAGATGTTTTGGAAACATAGCTTTAAAAGCTATAAAATCTGTCATACATGTCTCTTCAAAACAGAGAGAAAACTCAAATATTTCAAAGATGACTTTTCCAAAAATAAAGACGAAAAGTTATGGTAACTATTCATTTTTTATATGTTTTAAAGTCATTTTTTATTATTTACAACACATTTTTAGGACGCTTAAAAGTCATTAAAAACCATTGAAATTTTGAGAGTTGTTTTGTAATCATCTTGGAAACATTTTTAAAACGTTTTCATGAGAATATTTTTAAAATATACGAACAAATAATTAAAAAATATTTATTTTTTTTTATTTTAAAAGCCTTCTGAAAATGGATTTTTCGTTTTAATTCTCATTTTTAAGACTAAAAGTAAAGAAACATTTTTTAGCATTTAGGTAAGGTTTAGAACTTTTTTTTCTAAAACTGTTAAAAAAAACTTTGTTGAGAAATTTCCTACAAATTCTATTCTTAAAGATTGAAATATAACAATTTGGGAATTTTTTTCATGTGCTTTAGGGTTGGACAACTTACATATAACACACCACATATGACGACGATGGTCAACGTGCATATTGAATTCGAGATGTGAGCTAAAATTTCAGGTCGCATCTGCACGACCGCATGAAACTTTTTAGCCTGCTTACAAAGTTAACCACCATTTAAGCATGCTCTTATCTGAGAGAAGACATTCTCCGGGGAGCATAGAGTAATGTCCTCTCGTAGAATATTTCAAAGTTCTGAATATACGAGCTTAGCTTTACAGACACAGCGTAACTCTTCTTTTTGGATTTTTCCTTCTGTTCTCAAACACAAAATGCGACCATCCAAGTTCCAGAATTTCTTTCAGCGATAGTTACGTGGATATGTTTGCTTACGTTTAAAATGATTCTCTATTTTATTTTTTATTTTCAATTTTTAACGAAGTGCATTTACCTTAAACATTAAATTAGCGTAAGATCATTTTTTTAAAGTTGCGTAAACATATATTTGAAAAAGAAGGGTATGAAAAAACCACAAAAGTGTAGAAAGAAACGACTATGCGACTATCTATTGAACAATTATACTTCTCTTCGGCCGAGAATTAATCGCATCGGTGCACAGTGGATCGAGTCAATGGTTGAGGTCGGACAAAATTTGGAAACTTTAAACGTTTGACTCCGTTTATACAAAATTTTGAGGTTCTGAAAGTGGGTCCAATGGTCTCCTCGTGAAAGTTTCTACCATTAGCACCCCTTTAAAATGTGACGAAATAAACAGAAAAATTTGCAGTTTTGGTGGCAAATTTCATGTCCGACCTCTTTAATTGACTCGATCTACTGTGCGGTGGCAGTCTCATGCGCCAGCCACTCGCGAGAGGCTACCTCTTATTCTGCCATGCTAAGGAAGAACGCCGTATGTACATTCGAGGGTTGCCAAATTTCCTCAGATAATAAATGCATTTTACAGGAAAGTTGTGCATAGATTTCTTTCAAATTTTGAGATACTTTAGATTGAAAAGTGTACAAAATGGTCTGAAAATTTTTAGGAAAATTATCCAACAGTTTTCTTGAAAATCCGTATTTTATCGGAGGAAATTTGGCAACGCCCGATGGCTCATACGGCGTTCTTCCTTAGCACGGCAGTATTGATATGGGGGAGAACCAAGAGTACATTAGTTCAGCAGGACACACTGAAAAAAAATTCTCGGCGTTTTTACCGAGGTTCGTTGGTACCTTTACCATCTCACTTTTTTTACCAATTATTGGTAATTTTACCAAGACAGACTGGTAAGCTTACCTAAAAACTTGTATTTTTACTGTTTTTTTCAGGTAAGAATACCACTTTTATGGGTAATCAATTCCCGGTAACTTTGCCATTTTATCTCGGTAATTTTACCACAGTCGATAAAAAATATTGGCGTTTTTACCAAGGTCCAGTAAAATTACCGAGAAAGTTCAATAATTTTATCGAGATTTCTCGGTAAAATTACCAATTCCATAAATGATAATTTTACCAAGAAAAAACTGGGATCAAATAGAACCCTGAATTCTTGGTAATTTTACCCTTTTCTTTGTAAATACACCGAGATTTTTTTTCAGTGGAGAGTTTGGAACTAGTTCCGGGAAATGAGAGCACTGGAAGAATCCAAGAATCTTACCTTTGGAGAGAAAGCCGGCCTGTATCAACCTGGCGTCCATCATGAGCTTGGGAACCAGAAATGCGCACGCGATGAGGATGTGGATGAAGGAGGAGGTGGGTCCGGCGTGCTGCCAGAGGCCGAGGAACCCTGAGCCGAAGCCGAGGGNTTTTAAAAAAAAGTTCATTGAAATCGGTTGAGATGCGGCGGAGATATGAATTTTTAAAGGTTTCCACTTTAAAAAATGGCAACGTCGCAACCCGGCGCTTCTAAGCAAAACGGCGACCGGTTTTGGGCGTCTGGGAAGCTACTGTATCACCCCAAGTGATCAAAATTCGAAAATGCCTTGAGGCATTTTTGGCCGTTTTTTCACACACCTCTTTCTTCAGATAAAAAATGCATTTTACAGGAAAGTTGTGCATAGATTTCCTTCAAATTTTGAGATATTTTAGATTAAAAAGTGTACAAAATGGTCTGAAAATTTTTAGGAAAATTATCCAACAGTTTTCTTGAAAATTCGTATTTTATCGGAGGAAATTTGGCAACGCCCGATGGCTCATACGGCGTTCTTCCTTAGCACGGCAGTATTGATATGGGGGAGAACCAAGAGTACGTCAGTTCAGTAGGACACTTTCTTCATCCCCAGATGTCTCAGAGAATGGAGATGTTGCATGTGTGAGGAATTTGCGATTTGACTGTTGATTCTTACGTATAAGTTCGCGAGAAACACGATGTGGCCACTGGTTTTTTCTGAAATTAACTCCCAAGCTCAAAAAAAGCTCTCAAGTTAAGGCCAAAATGGAGGGGATATCCCACGCTATCCTGAGAGTCCACCTCTACATCAAAACAAACTCTCCATGCAAAGATAGGGAGCAAAATACATTGACAGGGCTGCCACTTTATTTGGCGACTCTAAAACTGAAAACACGGCATCACTGCTAATGTATTTGCTCCCTATCTTTGCATGGAGAGTTCGTCTTGATGTAGATGTGGACTCTCAGGGTAGGGTGGGATATTCCCTCCATTTTGGCCTCAACTTGAGAGCTGTTTTTGAGCTTGGAAGGTGATTTCAGAGAAAACCAGTAGCACCATCGTGTTTCTCGCGAACTTTTACTTAAGGATCAACAGTCACATCGCAAATTCCTCACACATGCAACATCTCCATTTGGAACTAGATCCGGGAAATGAGAGCACAAGAAAAATCCAAGAATCTTACCTTTGGAGAGAAAGCCGGCCTGTATCAACCTGGCGTCCATCATGAGCTTGGGAACGAGAAATGCGCACGCGATGAGGATGTGGATGAAGGAGGAGGTGGGTCCGGCGTGCTGCCAGAGGCCGAGGAAGCCGGAGCCGAAGCCGAGGGCGAGGCTGTTGGGCGGGTCGGCCCGGCAGGTGCTCAGGTTCCGGCCGAGCTTGAAGCCGTCGTTGGCCAAGTTGCCCACCTTGAACGTGGCCGCCACCAGGAAGAAGAGGATGAGCAGGGTCGCCACCCCGATCGAGGCGATGATCCCCTGCACCTCCTGCTTCGACGGCTCGTAGCCCGTCGGCCACGGCAGCTCCACGAAATCTGCCAAACAAATACCGCATAGTGAGACGGTGGGTTGACGTAGAGTCCCTTTATACTGAGAGTCAAGACAATTCGGCTCATGGATGTCACAAACGGGAATAAAGATTACAGAAATTGAACGTTTTTCGTAATCTTTGATCGGCCCATTCTCAAATGCCTTTCTCCGTTCCTCCTCTCATTCCGTTTGTTCCTTGCCGAACCCGTAATTCCCTGGTCCATTCCAGATTATAATCTTTGCAATCGGTGAAAATGTAATCTTTATTCCCGTTTGTGACACTGTGGAGGCCTAAAATACGGGAACCAATCAGAAATGGATTCAAATTGTCTTGACTCTCAGTATAAAGGGACTCTAGGTTGACGTTACCGCACAAAATTTCCGATTTTGACATTTCCATACAAAAACCAGGATTGCTAATTCCGCACAAGATCAGTCAGCAAAACTGTCTTTTGGCACGACTTACAGTGTGAATATTTCCCCTCCTGCGACGTTCTGGGCATTCGAGGTGGACATGAAGACAGTACAACTCAGGCTTGGACACCTTCTACGAGTGAAGTTGCCAGATGTAACTTGTGTGGAAAATATTTTGTGCGGAGAAGTCAATCAGATCTTTGTGTGGAAATGTCAAAATCCCAGAATTTGTGCGGAAAATGCATATTGTCGGTAAAAGAAAGTAATTTTGGGCTAATGTGGGAGGTACAACTCACAATGGACCGCGTTAGTCAGAGAGGAACCAAGCCACATCAACTATTGCCAAATTTAATTGGGCAATGCAATTTTTTACATGAAAAACGGTTAAGCTTTGTGTACAAATTTCCCGTGATTTTTTGCGTGGTGCGTAGCAAATTTCTCAAAATTTTCAAAAAAATTTGCACAAACGTTTTCTCGTACAAAATTAAAATGCCGAGTTAAATTTGGCCGTAGCTGATAGTACTTGGTTCCTTTCAGCTAAAAGCGGTCCAAATGGGGATTGGACTTAGAGTATCCTTAACGTGCGGTTAATATTTTTTGGTTAGTTTTCCTCCGTGTTACAGTGACCAAATATTTTTGTTAAAAATTTGAAACCTCGTTAAAGTTCAGGCGCAAGCCGCTCGGATCGAATTTGGATCGGTTTTGGGGCAGCAATAGCATAATGCGCTGCTAGGGAGGGTTTGGATTCGATTGACATGAATCGATCGAAAAATGAAAACGTGAATCAATCAACGTGAATCGATCGACGCCGATTCGATGAAAAAATCATTGAAAAACCGGTATCGATTCGATCGACATGAATCGGTTGAAAAACAAAAAACGTGAATCGATCGACACCGATTCGATCGATAACCGTGAATCGATCGACAAACCCGTGAATCGATCTACAAACCCGTAAATCGATTGACAAAAGCCGGGATTCGATCGAATCGGTGTCGATTGAGTCACGTCGATCGATTCACGTTTTTGTCTTTTGATCGATTCATGTCGATCGAATCGATACCGGTTTTTCAATAATTTTTCGATCGGATCGGTGTCGATCGATTCACTTGTTCATTTTTCGACTGATTCATGTCGATCGAGTCCATGCTCTTCATGCCTATAAGCACTCGCAAATCGGAATATCTGAGTGTCTTCGAGAGAAAAAAGAGTACATTGGTTCAGTAAGACACTTTTTTATCCTCGGAGTGTGGCTGGATGTTGCTAACTTGGTTAATATTTTTTGTTTCGGGGAAGGGAAGGGGCTTGAATGACAAAAACTTACCGAAAAACCTCTTTGCAGAGTGGAGCGCGATGTAGGAATTAAGGGCCGTGAGGAGTAGGCCATACCAGACGGACCAGAGGTTATTCAAGTGAGCACGGAGACAAGATTTGCTAGGGGTGTCCGGAACGGACTCGATCTCACCAATTTTCGCACTTCGTATGGCGTCCTCCTCTGATTCCATCACTTGGTTAGGTATTCTGCAAATAAACCAGAATCCGCTATCATCAAGATTAATACCTTAAGCGCACTGTATATAATGGATCTGTTGAATACAACGCATGACGATCTAAGTATATACACGTGGAAGACCCGCCTACAATAAAATGCAATTTTTTTATTAAAGGGGGAAAAAAGGATTCCCAAAATATGCGGGATTGAATGCTCTCAGCTACTTCAACTGAATTGTCCTTAAGTGAAAGTTCGATGAAATGAATACTAAATTTTTTGGTGACAGATACCAGATTTACTAGTTACGTAAGTCATGTGCACGGTTATTCAACACACACGAATATTGGCCGAATATTTACAGAATTAATGAATATGAATTTGCGAAGTTATAGTGGCTGTACGAGAAACTCCGAAAATGATGCTACATTTTCGCTACAAATTTCTTGCGGCAATCATTATGTAGCAACATTTCTAGTGACATAAATTGTTTAGAAACAACTTTCTAAAATACGAACTACAAGTAGGAACATGATCACAGAATCTTACCACTAAAGAGGAGAGGTGATAGGGTGATGATCGGAATGCGTGAATTTTTGGAACCATCGCAGAATCATCTGAAACATAGAATTCAGAAATGTGTCATTATATTTTACTCCCTTCAAAAACATTTAGCTGAGAAAAAATACAGTGACATAAAATCTCATACAATTTCTATAACAGTAAAGAAATGACTTCTCATTTCCTCCTCACTCAGATCTGCATCTTGTTGTGGGCATGCATAGGGAGAAAATGTATCTCTGATTCCCCACAGGTTTCTAGATTTTTAGGTTGAATAACCGAGAAAGAATATATTTCATCGTGATGTCAAGTTCCGGAACTTTCGCTCCTCAAGCTCAAATGCAAACTTCTTAATTCAAGCTGCGTTCAATCGCGGAACGCGCACTGACGCCTACAAACCTAAGGGGATACTTCACGCATTGCGCAATGCTTGAAGTATCCCCTTAAGTTTGTAGGGGCTACCGCACGTATTGCGCAATGCTTGAAGTATCCCCTTAGGTTTGTAGGCGTCAGCGCGCGTTTCGAGCTGGGAGCACGCCGCGCCGCAGCGTGCCTGTTAAAATGTAGGCAGTTTGACATCAAATTCAAATTCAGCGACTCAAAGAACATCAGGTACGAAACTTTCTTGATCTTTCAGTCATTATCCGACTTCTTTCTTCCTATTATTGAGTTTTGGACCATAGTGTGCCGCGGGCGGCGGCGCTCATGAAATTCTCCCCTGTGCTCCATCGCCCGTTTTCACCCTTTATTTGAATTTCAAAATCGTCCCAATTTTGCCATCAATTTTCTGGCCAATAGGAGAAGTGGCCTCCCTTTTTGCTCCCAGCGTTCCTTCTCCATGTTTTTAGATAAAAGCCTTTCAATCAACAGAAAAAAAGGATTGTGATGGCAAGTTCCTAATATAGCTACTTCGGTTGCGTCAAGGTCGGGGAGCCACCCGGGCCTGCCGTCGAAAGTAACTCCGCCATTAAAACCACTCTAATAGCATTTTGTCGCCGGAGCACGGCACTTAATTCGTTTTGGGGCAAACACGGTGCACCCAAATCAGATTATGCGGCAGACAAGGCCCGCCCGAGGTGGGCACCGAGATTCGAATTTGTTTGCAAATAAGATTCCCAGTTTATACTCCGCTCCAGACACGAGAGTCCCCCAATCGCTGCCGCTTTACCACACCCTCACGTGTTGGGGGATGGTAATATTCGAGTAAATTATGCCCAAGGCGGCAACGTTGCCGGAAAGTTGCCCGCGCGACCACAAGCCGCACACATTTACGTCGAACACGCTCGAAGCCGCACACATTCTCACGTCTTTGTCAGGAGCACCCGACGAAATTTGTGAATAGCTTCTCGCGTGCATGAGGCAGCTGCTTTTCTCGACGGCACTTATCGTCGCGTCGCCTCCTCTTCGCTGCATGAGAAAAATTGGGCTCGTTGTCGCGGGAAAACAGCTTTCCTTGGCAGATTTTAGTTGCGTTGAGGCGAATACTTGTTGCGTCTAGAGAGGAATTAATTGCTTCAAGTAAAATTTTAGTGGCGGCTTTGAAGTTGTAGTTTCAGAGAGACAGAGGCTACAGAATTGGTACTGAACAAGCGCATAGCCCTAGAGAGAGCAATGCTATGATGAGAGATCAATGGGAGATCTGCTGATACCACTTAATCACCTTGAGTGTGCCCGCTTTTGCCTATCGTTTTAATAGAAGGCGGATCGGTTTGGGATCATCCTTCTGGCTTCTAACATAGGTCTGCACCTAAAAAAGTTTAGGTATAATTTTAACGGTAATTTTTAAAACTGAAAACGGAAGACGAAGAGACGAAAGAGAGAAGGAAGAGAGGCTAACTAAACGGAAGAGAGGCTGCCAAAAAAGATGCTTGATTGGGTTCCTCCTGGGAGGAGACGTAGGGGACGCCCAGTGCGAGGTTGGCGACAGGGGGTGTTAAATGAGATAAGAGATTGTCAACTCCCTGATGACCTGTGGGAAGACCGAGCTTTGTGGCGATTAGGCGTCGCACAGCGCCAAAGAGCGCTATAAAAGCGACTCATATATATATATATATTTTTAAAACTGAATCCGATAATAGTCTCAGTGTATTCCCGAAACCAACCAATTTTCTGGAAAATCGGGACTTTTCTAAAAAAAACGGATTTAATTAGGAAAACTAAATGTTACTGGAAATTAAAGCTAGGTGCCACTCTTGGTCTAACCAAGATCATTTTCGAATTCTGCATTCCTACACAGAAAATTATCCTACAAAATTTTCCTCACTGTGTATTATTGTGAAGTTTTGCCAGTCAAATTTTATTATCCGCCCTTTGTTCTGCATCTAAGGAGAAGAAAATTGTTTCATTCAGGTGTCTAGTTGGCCCAGTAAAGATTTTGTTTTGCTGTAGAAGCCGAAAATAGCCTTAGTTTTTTTTCTCACCCATCAGTTTTCCGAAAAATCGAATTCTTCAAAACCAATGGTGTTTGGCACCGAAAAGAATAGAGCCGATGACGGTCTCAGCAGCAAACAGTAAGTAAAGTAGCTCCCTTAGACACTCATGATTGAAATAATTTTCCCTTTGAGATGCAAAACAAATGAAACGGACTAGTTTTACATAGAAGTATAAGATCATAGCATTTAACTGAAAAAACCTCGTTATTAGACACACTGAATCATTGAATATTTGAATCACGCTGTGCATGTTTTTCCTGCGTACGTTTCTTATCTCTCAAACGAGCTACGAACTAAAAATGTTATTATTTTTGAATCTACAACGGGAAGGGGGCAGGCCTGCAACTTCGAATAAATACCGACACCACCCCTTATATTCACCCAATTCATTCTTCTCTTCCGTGATTTAGATTTGAATTTATCACAGGAATTAACAGAAAAACAACGAAACAAAGGGTCGAGATGATTCCGATGATGCGATACCTCACGATCGGCGTGACGCTGGGAACACTTGGCAACCCGATAAGGACTCGAAGCAATTGGTGCGTTTTCGCTGCATATTTCATTTTCCATTGAGTAATAGAAAACAACCCCCTCGCCCCTCGGCGCTTTGTCTATCGAGTCGGGCGCACGCAGCCTTACTGCCCTCGCTAAGTGCCCCCTTTTTATCACAGCGGCGGCCCGGCTCGGTTCCCCATCTATCATATTTTCCCTCGTTTGTTTTTATTATCTGGCCTTTACATACCCAAGCTGAGACCCTCTCTCCGAGCAGAGGCAATTCTTTATCCTGCCTTTGAAGCCTCATTGAGATCCACCGTACGGAGGAAACACACATGAGTCACTTCCAGTTTCATTCAGTTTCCAATGCTGTATGAGCATTTTGACGTTGCCAAATTTCTTATCATAAAATACGGCATTCACACTGAAAAAAAACACATTGGATCTAGAGTCCAGACTCTTGAAAACATTAACAAGAAAAAATACTCTTGATTCAATCGGATTTTTGCTTGAATCAAAACGATATCTGCTTAAATTCAGAGGCTTGGTTCTTGATTTAAGCTAGATTCTGATTGAATCAAGAGTACTTTTTCTTTTCGATGTTTTTAAGAGTCTGGACTCTAGATCCAATGTGCTTTTTTCCAGTGCAGGGAGAACTGCAGTACCTTTAAGGCCTGGATACACGCTCGAATTTCCGTCAATTTCCGATCAAATGGGGACTGGTGCGCACCATCTACCATCAATTTTTTGTGGCCTGCAAAAATTTGATGGTAGATGATGGAACTGTGGGTCTCATCCGTCATCTGATTTCCGCACAGCAGTGCTTGTTTATGCTTATTTTAATCAATTCGCTGTTTTAATTAATTTTAGATACCAATTTCGATAACTCTCAACCGCAATTTGTCATCATTCTAATCGGAAATTGACGAAAATTTGAGCGTGAATCCATGACCTTATACTGATAGTAAAGACAATTCGAATCCATTTCTGATTGGTTCCCGTAGTTTAGGCCTTCACAGTGTCATAAGCAAGAATAAAGATTACATTTTTACCAATTGCAAAGATTATAAACCGGAATGGATCGGGGAAGGGGGGGACGACGCCAAGGAACAAATGGAATGAGAGAGGGAACGGATACAGAAATTCGGGAATGGGTTGATCAAAGGTTACAAAAACCTAGAGTACCTGTATAGCGAGAGTATGGATAGATCGCTTCATGGAGGGCTTAGGGTCCAAAAGTGCAGCCACCCTTCTAACTTCGACCCTTATAACTTCTAACGCACAAAACTTCACTGCCAGTGTGTAGATTCCAATTCTAACGAAGATGGCTAAGAAAGTACACAAGAGCGTTCTTCCACAAAAATGAGTAAATTTATGCAAAAACTAAGTCAAATACGTGCTTTATAAACGATGGTTCGTAGTAATTGTATTAATAAATCGCTCTGGATAATTGAAATTCATAGGTTGGCTGCATTTCTGGGCCCTTACTTTATTCGCTGAGGCATCGGTGAAGGCCTGATGGATTTTCGGAGTTTCACATCTATCTGTACTCTCGCTATGCAGGTACTCTACAAAAACCGTCCGATTTGTGTAATTTTTATTCCAGTTTGTGACATCCATAAGCCGCGTTGTCTCAACTCTCCCTATAAAGAAGGAGAACTAGTGAACATATTAGGAATTCTCAGGAAATTATACTCGCAATTCAATTCAGCGTGTCGAAGAGCTTTACAACAAAATATTCAAAACATTTCTTCAAAAAAAAAAAAAATAAAAAAAAAAAATTACACGAGTTGATTTGGCAACTTCTGAATGATCATACGGTGTTCTTCCATCGCACATTGAAATGATGGTGCGGGAAAATGGTTCGTAAAGGCTTTACTGCCTCCTTCGTTTCAATTCAATCATGATCTAAATGCAGCCGTTGTGCACGGGATTATTCAAATAAATATTTATTTGAAAGCATCCCGTTCGGTAAATATTCCTTCGTAAACTCCCGTCCAGTCTTGTTGGATGAGCTCTTCTTTTTATGTTCCACCTTCTCTCATTTTATTTGCATTGAAAAGGGCGACTACTATACGCAAGGTTACTGCTTAAAACGTAACGCAGACAACGTACCATATACGGCT